CCCGTTGCGGAGCACAGGCTCCAGACGCGCAGGCTCAACGGCCATGGCTCACGGGCCCAGCCGCTCCGCGGCACGTGGGATCTTCCCGGACCAGCACGTGGGATCTTCCCGGACCAGCACGTGGGATCTTCCCGGACCGGGGCACGAACCCGTGTACCCCGCATCGGCAGGCGGACTCTTAACCAGGGCGCCACCAGGGAAGCCCCCCCAATTTTTTTAAGTTGCTTGTTTTCTTATTACCTAGTCTTGAGGATGTTTAAATATATTCTAGATCCAAGTCCTTTATTCGAAATGTGTTTTTGTTTTTGTTTTTGTTTTGCGGTACGCGGGCCTCTCACTGCTGTGGCCTCTCCCGTTGCGGAGCACAGGCTCCGGACGCGCAGGCTCAGCGGCCATGGCTCACGGGCCCAGCCGCTCCGCGGCATGTGGGATCCTCCCGGACCGGGGCACGAACCCGTGTCCCCTGCATCGGCAGGCAGACTCTCAACCACTGTGCCACCAGGGAAGCCCTAGAAATGTGTTTTGCAAATATTTTCTCCCAGTCCGTGGGTTTTCTTTCCATTTTATTAAGTATCTTTCAAAGAGCAGATGTTTTTAATTTTGAAGAAGTCCAATTTATCAATTTATTCTTTTATAGACCATGTTTTTGGTGTTGTATATAAGAAATCATTGCCGAACCCTTTGCCTAAGGTTACAAAGATTTTCTTTTGTGTTTTCTTATAGAAGTTTTAGTTTTACGTTTATGACTGTGACCCATTTTGAGTTAATTTCTTTTTTATTATTTATTTATTTATTTATTTATTTAGGCTGCTCTGGGTCTTAATTGCGGCTTGCGGGATCTTTGCTGCGGCATGTGGGCTCTTAATTGCAGCATGCAAACTCTTAGTTGTGGCATGCTTGAGGGATCTAGTTCCCCAACCAGGGATCGAACCTGGGCCCCCTGTATTGGGAGCATGGAGTTTTACCCACTGGACCACCAGGGAAGTCCCTGAGTTAATTTCTTTTTTGAAAAAATATTTATTTATTTATGCCTGCGTTGTGTTTTCGTTGCTGCGCGAGGGATTTCTGTAGTTGCGGTGAGCGGGGGCTACTCTTCATTGCAGTGTGAGGGCTTCTCATTGCAGTGGCTTCTCTTGTTAGGGAGCACGGGCTCTAGGAGCATGGGCTTCAGTAGTTGTGGCTCATGGGCTTTAGAGTGCAGGCTCAGTAGCTGTGGCGCACAGGCTTAGTTGCTCCTGTGGCATGTGGGATCTTCCCAGACCAGGGCTCAAACCCGTGTCCCCTGCATCGGCAGGCAGATCTTAACCACTGCGCCACCAGGGAAGTCCTCCCTGAGTTAATTTCTTATATAACATGAGGTATGGACTGAGGTTCACTACTTTTGCGTAGGGATGCCCAGATGTTACAGCACCATTTTTAAAAGTGTATGCTTTCTCTATTGCACTGATTTGTACCTTTGTCAAAAATCACTTGGTCAGGGACTTCCCTGGTGGTCCAGTGGTAAAGAATCCACCTTCCAATGCAGGGGACGCAGGTTCGATCCCTGGTCAGGGAACTAGGATCCCACATGCCACAGGGCAACTAGGCCCACACACCACAGCTACTGAGCTCGCGTGCCTCAACTAGAGAGGCCGTGTGCCACAAACTGCAGAGCCCATGCTCTCTGGAACCCGCGCCACAACTACAGAGCCCACCCGCCCTGGAGCCTGCGTACCACAACTAGAGAAAAGAAAAACCACATGCCACAACTAGGGAGAAGCCCTTGCGCTGCAACAAAGAGCCCACATGCCACAACTAAAGATCCTGCATGCCGCAACAAAGACCCCACATGCCGCAACTAAGACCCGACACAGCCAAAAATAAATAAGTAAATAAATAATCTTTAAACAACAACAACAACAAAAATCAATTGGCCAGGGCTTCCCTGGTGGCGCAGTGGTTGAGAGTCCACCTGCCGATGCAGGGGACACGGGTTCGTGCCCCGGTCTGGGAGGATCCCACATGCCGCGGAGCGGCTAGGCCCGTGAGCCATGGCTGCTGAGCCTGCGCGTCCGGAGCCTGTGCTCCGCAACGGGAGAGGCCACAGCAGTAAGAGGCCCATGTACAGAAAAAAAAAAAAAAAAATCAATTGGCCATATTTGTGTGGTTTTATTTCTCATCTCAGTTCTGTTCCATTTTTCTGTTGTGTATTCTTATGCCAGTATCACACTGTCTTGACTACTTTAAATATATAGTAAGTCTTGAAATTGGGTAATGTGAGTGCTCCAACTTTGTTCCTTTTGTTCAAAAAAAATTTTTTTTAATTTTATTTATTTATTTTTGGCTGCGTTGGGTCTTCGTTGCTGCACGCGGGCTTTCTCTAGTTGTGGTGAGTGGGGGCTACTCTTTGTCATGGTGTGCGGGCTTCTCATTGCGGTGGCTTCTCTTGTTGGGGAGCATGGGCTCTACGTGCGTGGGCTTCAGTTGTTGTGGCTC